ATATAGATATAGATATAGATATAGATATAGATATAGATATAGATATATAGATATATATAAAATCTTAGGTCAGTGTCTGGCCCACAGAACATACTTAGTATCAACCAGTAATAATTAGTACATTCCCAGGAAGTTCACAATATGCCTATTCTGAGGAGGTGGGGAGTGGTATTCCTGGCCATTTGCAGGAACGGAGCAGTCATTGTTACTTCCCTGGGAACCAAAATCCCTCTGCAGGCCAGGAACCTCTGCATCTGCTCTCTGCTGCCCTCTGAAGGCTCTGGGTGAAGGCTGGCCAAAGAGGACTGTTAGGGACTCCACAGATGACTTATTCACCATAGAAAAATGAGCAATCCCTTTTCTCAAGCAATCCACACTCCCAAGGTGGCAAGCTTGGCCCTTGACAAAGCTGCCGTGGGAGCCATCATTTGACAAACTCAATTAGGAATCACTGAGGCCACAGAGGAAATGCAGGTACCTGGGAATTCATCCCTCAGACTCCCGGAGAGACCCAGAGCAAAACCACTTCTCCCTTCCCCCAGGCTGTACTTCTGGAGACAGAGGACAGTGATCTATCAGCCAACCTAAGCCCCCATGGAAAGCCATTCCTCAGCCTGTGCCTCATTCCCTGTCGGACTGTGTGTCACCATGTGGGTCAAGTGGCCTTCACGTTGTCAGACTAAAAAGAGAGGGAAAGCCACTCCTCTCAGGGCCCCTGGGGGGTGATTCATTAACAAGAATCTGGGCACACCCATACTGTCTGGTGGAAAGATTTCATTTTCAATAGTGACAAAACTCCTAAAACATCTAGAAATAAACTTGCCTAGAAATGCATGTCTTATAGGAGAATGCATGATAAAATTTTGCTAAGAAACATAAAATAAGGTAACATTTCAGAATTGGAAAACCGAATAGGGCAAACATGTTAAATATTCATAAATTTATATACATTTTTAAAAAATGTTTATTTATTTCTTTTGAGAGAGGGAGTGAATGCAAGCAACGGAGGGGCAGAGAGAGAGAGAGAGAGAGAGAGAGAGAGAGAATCCCAAGCAGGTTCCATGCTGTCAGTGCAGAGCCTGATGTGAGACTCAATCTCATGAACCAAACTGTGAAATTATGACCTGAGCCAAAATCAGAAGTCAGACACTTAACCAACTGAGCCACCCAGGTGCTCCAAATTTATATATCTTTTAAATACAATTCCAGTGGCATTTTGGATGAAAACAACCAAAAAATCATGGTTAAAACATTAGCTTAGAATTTATTAAGCTTTTACTATGTGCCAGGATTTGGGCTGAGAACTTTACAAAATTACCTCAGTTAATCCTCCAATAACCCTATGTGATCATTACTGTTTATGAAAGAAAGGGTTGGGCAGTGGTTAACAGCAGGAGATCACATGACTTTGGGCAGGATAGTTATAACCCTGAGATTTGGTTTCCTCATCTGTAAAATGGGAATAACAGTATGTATCTCGTGAATTTAGGCTTAGGATCAAATGAAGTAATTTGGAACAGTGCCTGTCAAGTGCTGAGCACTTAATTAACATGAACTACTGTTACCCTCATTTACAGATAAGGAAATTTGGAAATTTAAGCTCTAAGAGGATAAAGTAATTTGTCTGAGTTTACACAGCCGGTAAATGGCTAAACTGGCCTGGGGGACGGGTTTAGGATTAGATGGGACAAGGACAGATGACATCAATTGTAGGGGCCTAAGTAGTTCCCTCAGAGTCCAGCACCCCACCCCATTCCAACCCCAAAAGGGAAACTGGAACCAACAGAAATTTAAGTGTCAGCACCTTTTTTTAAATGGGGGCTCAAGATATATGCGAAGAATGTTAGAAAATAAACTGTGTCTAATACACTTCAGTTTAGGGGCTGAAACTGATATTACAAAGGATAGATTTGGAGAAATGTGCTATTAAAAATGTTTTCAATTTGGAGGAGAATCTTGGGCAGTGGACAAAGCCAGCAATGTATTCATTTGTTGGACTCAGCACATTCATCTCTGCCCTGAAATTAAATGTGATTGTCCTTAATACTAGGGTTGAAACTTGCATCCCAATTTGCCTTGGACAGTCACCATCTGCCCACTTGTCTTGGCTTCATTGTTAGCAGTGCCCCCCTTTCATTCTCAAAAAGGATTCCGGTTTGGGCAATCAGTTACGTGGTTACTCTGTTAAGATTTTAAAATTCAAGCAATCCTGTGGATGAGCAACTGTCAGCTAGGTGATGTGAAACAGAAAAGACTTCCAGGCTGGGGGGACTAGAGGCCAGTGGGCAATAAAGTGAAGCTCCAGAGGGGCAGAGAATCTCACCTGGATGCGAAAGGAAGGGGCAGATGATGCCTCACAAGAGGAGTCTTGGTGAGGTTGTAGG